GGCCGTCACGGCGCTGATGGTGCTGTGTGAAACTACACTAGAGCGTTGTTCCTTTATTTTTCCATTTTGTTTACTTAACCAAGTTAAAATGGAAAGGTCCTTATTTTCGCTAAACCCAGCATAAAACGATGGGAGAAAACGGACTGTTATCGCCGATATTTGTGCATGTTCTAGTTTACTGACATACAGATGCTAAGGATGTTTCATTGACGTGGTCGCTCATCTCCATGTAGAAGATGCCGTGATAACAGCCAGTTGACACGAATAAATGACGCACATGTCGCTGTTGAAAATGGGGTGTGTCATTGTCTACATTAGAACTAGGTGACGACGACTTTCGTGTCTCTGAACGGCTTCACTAAAAGTAACAATGAACATTTGATTCATGGCGAATGCATAGCAACAGCATTTATGTTAAAAAAAATAATAAAAAATTATACATTGAAAATATGTCGTGACCCTCTAGCAGAACAAGTGAAACGCAGACTGTAAAGGTCTTTGATGGAACTGAAGATGACCGTCGGAGCAAGGGGTTGGGGGGTTGGGTGGGGGAGGGTAGAAGGAGTCGATCTCAGGAAGGCTCTGGGGTTTTCAGCGAACCCTCGTATCTCGGCGTATTACTGGCGACAGAGAATCATAATCATCAAATCCCACTATGAGCAGATGAGTGAAAAACAATTTTAGATGTATCCAGTCAGAAATATTTAGATATTATCCGGAATGTAAATTTATTGGTTTTAAAAATAATATACAGCCCAAATTTGCATTTTGGTCCTCTTTCTACCCATTTTTTTAGACTTCTGTATTCTTAATAATTAGAGTGTAAACTTCAGAGAATATGTATGTAATGTAGAAATGACTCAGGCCTTGCATGTTGTCAGATACAGTTAAACCTGAACAGCCTCATATTTCAGATACAATATGTACAAAATTATGTATATAAGCATATTTATGTACATGTAAGCATCTGTTTGGAAATAAGAACATAAATAAAAAATACTAATCCTCGAATCCTGGTACACCTAACTGACCGCGTCACGTCTCCTAGACGCCTTGGCCTGACATGGTGGGTCCGTGTACACAAACTACTGAAGAGAGGGGAAAGGGTGTTGACTGAGACACTAATGTCGTCAAAACGGTCCAAAAATCCAGTCACAATCTGAAGCAACATTTCAATCAAACACATCCTTCATCAATGACAGAATAAAAAAAATTAGAAAAACGATTGGGTATTTTGATAACACAACTTCAAAGCTTTTCCACAAACGCCCTTTTATGAAACAAGACTCATTAATCACTCACTCAACAATGACGTCATTGGCAGTTTTTGTTGTTGTGACCACACAGCCCAATGACGTCATGGCTGATTCGATTAGGTCCGACAGCCATGGGCCCCCAGACAGTCAGCAGGGTTCGGCAGTGTGATCTACAAAGGGATCGATAATAGTGTACATTGGACGCCGTCAAAATACAGACGATGCCGTAACGCCGTGTGTGAGTAGTAACAGCAGCAGAAGCAGCAACAGTAGCAGTAGTAATAGTAGTCGTAGTAGTAGCAGTAGTAATAGTAGTCGTAGTGGCGGCAGTAGTAATAGTAGTCGTAGTAGCAGTCGTAGCTGGAATATTGCTGAGTGCGGCGTAAAACCAAACTCACTCACTGGTGTCTTTTGTTGTTGAAATATAACTTATCCATCTGGTATAGAATGGATTATTCACAGATTACTTCGATAAGGCTAGAATCATTCGAACTGTGGCAAATACCACGGAGGTAAGCGGTGTCCACCCCAAACCGGAAGTACCTAGGTGGCTGCTGTTGGTCATGCATGTTGCGGCCACCCGGTGTTGTGGTTGTATTACATCGTTTGTTATAAGATATGTGTTTGTTACTATATTTAGACTGAGAGTCGTGAGTAATGTGGAAGCTTCCAGCTCAGTAAATCCTGACAGCCTCGGTCAACCGTGGCCACTGTTGTTGCTGGGTAAACATTATCATCACTGTCGTAGTAATTGTTCTGTCATTGACTTACCATCCTATACACAGTTCTACACCGAATTAATCTCAGAATACAGTTGTTTGTTGTATCACATTTCTTCGCTGATCTTGGTTCAACCAGGGAGAATAGAAGACGTAGATTATCCCTGGCTCAACCAGGGAGAATAGAAGACGTAGATTATCCCTGGTTCAACCAGGGAGAATAGAAGACGTAGATTATCCCTGGTTCAACCAGGCAGAATAGAAGACGTAGATTATCCCTGGTTCAACCAGGCAGAATAGAAGACGTAGATTATCCCTGGTGCAATCAGTCAACCAGGGAGAATAGAAGACGTAGATTATCCCTGGTTCAATCAGTCAACCAGGGAGAATAGAAGACGTAGATTATCCCTGGTTCAATCAGTCAACCAGGCAGAATAGAAGACGTAGATTATCCCTGGTTCAATCAGTCAACCAGGGAGAATAGAAGACGTAGATTATCCCTGGCTCAACCAGGGAGAATAGAAGACGTAGATTATCCCTGGTTCAACCAGGGAGAATAGAAGACGTAGATTATCCCTGGTTCAACCAGGCAGAATAGAAGACGTAGATTATCCCTGGTTCAACCAGGCAGAATAGAAGACGTAGATTATCCCTGGTTCAATCAGTCAACCAGGGAGAATAGAAGACGTAGATTATCCCTGGTTCAATCAGTCAACCAGGGAGAATAGAAGACGTAGATTATCCCTGGTTCAATCAGTCAACCAGGCAGAATAGAAGACGTAGATTATCCCTGGCTCAATCAGTCAACCAGGGAGAATAGAAGACGTAGATTATCCCTGGTTCAACCAGGCAGAATAGAAGACGTAGATTATCCCTGGTTCAACCAGGCAGAATAGAAGACGTAGATTATCCCTGGTTCAATCAGTCAACCAGGGAGAATAGAAGACGTAGATTATCCCTGGTTCAATCAGGGAGAATAGAAGACGTAGATTATCCCTGGTTCAACCAGGCAGAATAGAAGACGTAGATTATCCCTGGTTCAACCAGGCAGAATAGAAGACGTAGATTATCCCTGGTTCAATCAGTCAACCAGGGAGAATAGAAGACGTAGATTATCCCTGGCTCAACCAGGCAGAATAGAAGACGTAGATTATCCCTGGCTCAACCAGGCAGAATAGAAGACGTAGATTATCCCTGGTTCAACCAGGCAGAATAGAAGACGTAGATTATCCCTGGTTCAACCAGGCAGAATAGAAGACGTAGATTATCCCTGGTTCAATCAGTCAACCAGGGAGAATAGAAGACGTAGATTATCCCTGGCTCAACCAGGCAGAATAGAAGACGTAGATTATCCCTGGCTCAACCAGGCAGAATAGAAGACGTAGATTATCCCTGGTTCAACGCTGATTGATGCCGGGTGACCACTACATGCATGACAGACAGCAGCAGCCACCTAGGTACTTCCGGTTTGGGGTGGACACCGCTTACCTCTGTAGTATTTGCCACAGTTCGAATGATTCTAGCCTTATCGAATAATCTGTGAATAATCCATTTTGTACCAGATAGGTAAGTTATACTTTACTTATTGTTTCAACTTAGAGATTGACACGAAACATTACCAACCCAATTTTCTCGCTGGAAATATATAAATGTGATTTCACCTGAGTACATATAGCATGTTCTCGGCAAGTTTAGGCTCTTTTAATTTACTCTTTTGAACGAAATTGAAGAGCTTCCGGGCCATAACTAATACTGAATTAATAGACCAACATTAACTTCGAAATAGTCATTCTTACTAGTGATGTCACATCAAGCGACATGACAAACACGACTGATTATCACTACCGTACTTTTGTGTCACTTTCAGCTTCATTAGGTTATTTGAGGATTTGTATCACTTGTGTAAATAAGAGATATTTAACAAAAACTACACGAGTTGATGGCAGTTGGCTGTGTGAACCAATGTACCGTCAAAGATGTTGGTGTACCATTGTCTGGATAGTTTGTGTTTGAACTGTGGATGTGGTCAAGTTCAGATCCTGTTGTTTTTTCAGCCAACCGGAGTGAGTGAGTGAGATTGGGTTTACGCCGCTTTTAGCAATATTCCAGCAATATCACGGCGGGGGACACCAGAAATGAGCTTCACACAATGTACCCATGTGGGGATTCGAACCCGGGTCTTCGGTGTAACGAGCGAACGCTTTAACCACTAGGCTACCCCACCGCCCTTTCAGTCAACCGGAAGAACGTTGGATTTGTTGTCCAGTGTTTCAGGAAGTGGGTGAATGATAGTAGATACAAGTGACGTCAACACGGAATATTCAAGGTCAAGGTTGCTTGTCGATCCACGACTGGAATGTAGACGCGTTTGGGCAACACCACTGGGGAGGGAATCAATTGTTTTATGGTGCTCTTCGCAATATTACAAAAATATAACGAGGGCAACACCAATGTGGGGAATCGAACCCTGGTCTTCAGCGTGACAAGCGGACGCTTTAACCACTTGGCTACCCCCTCAAACAATGAGGAAGGCTAGTGATTAAAAAGCTTGCTAGCTTTGCCAATAAGTTGAATAACCTGGGTTTGTTACCAAAAACAGGACTTGGGACACCAGAATAGGGCTTCACACACTCTACTCTGGTGGAGTCTCTAACTTGCTGTTCATGAAGTGCTCAATTTCACCACCCTCCAGGGAAGTTGGTTTCAACTTTCCAAACAAGTCTCAAAGACCATATGGCCCGAAATAACACTTCATAATGAACACATCCATATCACATTTCAATCTCTTTTAAAAAAATCTATATTCTCCTTAAATCTTTTCCTCATCAAGTCATATTCCTTGCTAAAACCAGGGATAATCTACAACGTTATATAGTCTCCCTGCTCAAACTGACTGTATTGAGTGAGAAAGTGTCAGTATCAAACTTCTCCATCAACACAGATGACTGTCCTACGACATTATCCACTGTGCTAATGCACATTCATCAGTCTTCCCTCTGGTCAGTAAACAAAACATGACATGTTGTAATGAACATTGTTTATTTATTCATGTAGCAATTGACTTGAAGCATTTACAATTCCAACAAACATTTAAGTCCGTTATCAACATATTTACATAGTATTATACATATCTCAATCGTCAGGCCCGACACAGGCTGTAAGAATCAATCTGTATCTTTATGAGCATGCTAGTCCTGATGATAACCTTGTTCTGCTGACACATGTCACTGTCTCCCTGCTGTGGGCGTGTCAGTCAGTCATGGCTTCACCACCCACAGAGTCTTACCCAGTCACAGGTCGACATAGCCCTTAATCTCATTCATGCAAGCACATTTGAAAATTTGACTTTTTTCCTCAAAATGTTTTACAACAATATTTATTCCCTTTTTCATAAAATTTGAGAAAACCGTAGATTATATTATTATAGGATTTTCTTAACAGTCTTGGATAATTTAAACTTTTTTAAGTCATGATGTAATCCGCCAGGCAATTCAATGAATATTCCAGAAGAAAATGTTTCAGGAATTTACCTACAAATGAATATTACTGCAACATAGCATTAAACGGTGCATGGCACAGAACATCCTATGAAGCAGTGTCATGGTTAGGTTCACCTACAGGAACAAGAAGAGTGACAGCATTCAAGGCTGTTGACAGTCGTTCTGTGGGGGTTGGTACTTTGGGACAAGGTGCACAAACGTTGAACGGTAAGTCTAGACAAGGATCACAGGGTTGTCCAAGGGGAAATCTAAAAGAGGTCTTTACCAATTTACAAAAGAGAACTGAAGTTGGCCAAAGTTGGGTGTGGCCAAGCAGGCCAGTAGTGAAGGGTGATGGCCTGGTTTATTAAACATCTAGATCTACTGAGAATGATCGCCGTCACAGGTTTGGAATGCTTCTTAATCCTGGCACCTCGAAAGATACCATATCTTCACCATATCTCTCGCACATGACATCAATCAATAACTCAACCTTCATCGGAATGAATGAATTTTCTATCAGAATGAAAGGAGGTGAATCCTTTTTTACTATCCAAAGGGTTAAACCGTATCAGTTTTCAAAGTGGAAATATGTTCTTGGAACCAAAACCTTATTGTTGCCTTGTTTAGCAACATTTGGGTAAGGATGAGGCCCCCTGAATGTTCATGTTAAACATGGCAGTATTACTGAACGCAAGAATGAACTGCCTAAAGTGGTTCCTGTCGTGTTAAAATGACTAGTCTTACCTCAATCGCAACCTTTGAAAAACAGCAATGCCCAACAAGGATATTCCTTAAGGGATATATATGACGGATATTCCTTAAGAGATAAATATGAATAGGATACGAGTATCAGTACAAATTTTCCTGGTCACATAGTACAAGACATCTGACAGTGTGGCCAGAGAACTACTCTCATGTCAACTTATATGACTTTTATTCGTTTAGAATGATATTCATTTTCCCGGAATCAATGACCATCGTCCATACAATGACACGAAGATGTCTCTGCCATGTCATACTGGCTCTTGGTTTCATAATGAAAATAGGAGAACACCTGTCATAACACTAAGAATATGCAACACAAGTCAAGGAACAATCTCTATGTACAGATTCACAAGTCATATTGGAAATATACAGTCACCGTAAGGGGGTTAAAGCTTGTTATCATCCACAAAGCTTATATCACACTGTGTGAAATATAAAACATATACACACTCGCATAAAATACTAATTATGCCGAGTCAGCACAGGCAATGCATACAATGTCATACATCAGCCAAGGATATAATACACTATATATATACATAAGCACTCGGTGATCACGGGTCGGTCAGCCCCTGCTGGACCCATGTCCATCTGAGCTCGAATATCTCACTTCAACCATCACCGTACGGCTTGGTTTGCATCAGTGTCAGGTCAGTGGCAACCTCAAAATGTCCATCTGTAGTGTACTCTGTTTTGTCAAGGCATTACAGGATATGCACACTGTACTGGGGAACAGGCCATGCACAAGTGCTTACAGATGTTAACTCTCACCAGCACAGGCACATTGTACATAGTGCTCTGTACCCAACACAGGATCTACACATGGTACTCCGAGCCGACACCCATAGCGCTTTCGTCACATGTGCCGCATAAGGTGTCCCTTATCTTTATCCTCTACGGAACCCCTCCACAACGTTTTGACCCTTAAGAGCCTTACCAGTTGGAGCTCAGATGGACATGGCTGGGCGGCTGGTTACTGACCACTAACTGGACACTAACTACTACTACTACTACATCGCAGCAGCAGGTCCGTGTTCTCACATGACCTACTGCCACCAATCACAGTCAGACAGTGTAGGATGAAGGCCCTGACCTTACATCAGTCAACAGGAAGTCTCGCCATATCCTTGCAATACTTTCAACAACTCACCAGTGATCTTTCAAAACACTTCATGATGAACAGCACAGTCTATAGAAGTAGATAAAAGTCCAACACAGTGAAAAGCAAGATATGTCAAAGTCAAGATACTTGTTAGCATATTTCATAAAGGATTGTAAGCATAGTCACATGGATGATTCCAAAGAAGTCCCAATGAAGATTTCCAGAAGTTGTAGAGTACTGTACTGTACGAGGAATGAAAGGCTAAGCTTGATCTGTGTGTATAGTGAAGGACCACGGGCGGAACACACCAGCACAGACTGAAGGACTGGTTCCTGTTCGGGAAGCCTTGTGATGGTTCCGGGTTGTGGCATCTGCTGATCCAGCCATATGACAATGATATCATGAACAGTTCTCTATGATTCTCCGAACACAGAAAATTGATCAGTTCTGGTAAAATGATGCTCCCAGTCCACACGCAGCGGGGCGGGAAGTAGGTTGACCGGGCGCAGTCAAAGTATCCCATCCCATGGCCATGATCACGCGTGAGCTAACAGCGTGAGGCTGTGCTTGAAACTATCAAGCTTAACTGGGTGGATGCATGATTCTATATTCATGTATGATGAGCAGGGTATGCTAGGATGAGGACGAAGGAGGCTGGGGCTTGGGCAGGTTCAGTTTCGACAGCGTCTCCTGCGTGGCATTGGCCTTGAGAACCCCATTCTCGTACTCCAGCTGCCCGATCTTCTCCATGAGGTCCTTGATCTGCTCCTTCAAGACCTCGACCTCCTCCCTGACTGCAAACATCAGGTGACTTTTGACCAAGTCCTGAAATACAACAAGCACATATTAGACAAAGACATATTTCATGTCACCAAATTCGATACTTGTCTGGGCCATTTCAGAAAGTATTATGAAGGTTTCGCATAAAAAGCATTGAAAATATATATTAATGGCACATGATGTTTTTCATTGTTTGTAAATTTGACCTCGGTTATCATCCTGAGCACATTTAAGGGCACCAAGAAGTGGCTTCTAGCTATCTTCACACTCAGTTGCTACTCAGGATGCTCATCATCAACTGAAACCCACTTAACTTCATCCATCATGAGCAAGAAGAGGCATTACTGATACATGAAGTATCTACAGGAACGTTTAAGCACCAACTTGGCAGCGGTAATCAATAATCTTCAGACACCACACTCTAACACACTTCCTCCACAAGCTGTTTACCACAACCGTGAACCACCAAGTGACAGAACACCACCGAGTGAGTGAACACCACCAAGAACATCCAGTGTATTTTCAAACAGTTACCTCCATTATGAGAGCAAGCCTCAAGGACCAGTCATAACCAATGCCAACCTCTAGCTGCCTGACTGGGCTCCCACTGACTCCTCCAATTCTCTTAGAAATCTTTCCTAAACTGATCAATAATTTGCGGTCAAGTTGGTGTGATCCCGAACCTCCCTGTTGACCGACTGTACTCTCGCCACGGCAAAAACCTGGTGGAAAATAGGCCACTAGAGGATGCGGGGAACGAGTAAGCAATGTTTTGACTCCAATAAAGCAAATTGCAGAGGGCGGAATTATAAGCCTAGCCTGTCCCTAGAAGAGATGCTAGGGATGAAGGAATGCAGTTAACATGGCCGTGTCTGATAATGGCTAACTATCAATAGACCAAGTCAGTGAGTGATGACTGTGAAACAAGGTCAGTATTCAATGAAATTCATGGAGTTTGGACAGAAACGAGGAAAAGATTGCTGCCATTAGACTGGGATGATGGAGAATGTGTTAAGTGACCATCTCGGATATATTAGATTCATCTCCCTGTGAGCTTTACCTGACCGTATCCCCTAATGGGTAATAACGGTCATTAGTGCCAGACATGCTTCTCAGCTGGAGATTAATGACTGTTTACGTAGTCTGTCCTTGAAATGCAACCCACCATTTTCCTTGCAATAAACTGGACCATTTACCAAGGTGCTACCACTTATTCACCCACTGAATTAGAGGCTGTATTTCAGTCTCAGACAGATTATACAATAAAGGATACATCACACATTTGGGGAGAGATGATTGATCGAATTACCACTGTATTTCTGTCACCCAGACAGGTTAAGAGTGAGTCCATAGGGTCTTAAATATGCAATACTAAAACTTGAAAGCACCCACAAAGGACAGTTGTGTTAGCTTAATGGTGATTATGATGATTTTTAACAGGAGTAATTGTTAACACAGGTCCATAGGTCTAGCCTTGTCTACCTCGTAGGCTTCAACATGGATTCAAACCAGGCTTTCTTTAACAAGAACATGCACTATCTGCTTGCCCACCCCTCATGGCTGACCGGCCAGTAAGGCAGGGAATACCTGCTTGTATCACATGAGACATTTCTGTATGGCTGTCAGGCAATATGACATGTTATAGTACACCTATCTGTGTCACTGTGCACCAAAATAGCTCGGATGATTGATGGCCAAGCTGTGACAGGTCTACTGACATTCTATCACCGACCAGGCAGATCTCTTGTCCATATATAGCTGTCTTGTACAGAAGGGAGTGGACCCAGAAGATCTATTCTAGTGATGAGGATGGAAGTGACACTAGCCTGAGGCAGGTACTAAAACAGGTATTCAGGACCACATCAAACAGGACATAGCCTTCTACACGTACTTCTCACAAGACCTAACCAATTGTCGAACATGTCTAATTCTTCAACATTTAATCATTTTTAATCAGCGACTGATGAAATGTTGAAACTAAAATGTGATATTTAACTCAGAGAGTTTAAAACATATTTATATGAACAGTTAATAAATTTCTGAAGGAGCATCTGGGTCATTCAAGCTGAGCTGAATTGCACACATCATACTAGTCAAAAAAATATATGATAAAAATTTTCATTCTGACTGCCTACACCAAGGAGTGAGAGCTGGAAATCCTTCTTCCGTGGGTCCCTGTGACCAGGGCTGGAAACTCATATGGCAATCCTAGAAGGTCGACACTGACTGTGTGTCCTTCGTAAACTTACAAACCTCTTCTCCCACTTGATTTCCGGACTTACAAAACTACAATGTCATTCCCCAATATTGGAATGAATTATTTAAGCAATCTAAACGCTTCGCCAAATCTATGTTCCTATCCCCTACAATGCATTGCCGCCATCATTTAATGAATGTTGGAAAAAACAGGCATCTTCCGTCCCAGACATTTTATTGTGAGGAACGCTGCCAAGTATTGGTAGTGTCAGCTATCTGCTGCAGGCAACCCTCGGAACCCGCAGTGCCTGGTCTGCCTACAACCACCTGCACATGTTGCACTGGCCGCCTGTTGCTTGGCGCTGCATGGAGATGTGCATCAGTCAGTGCACATGTTGCAGCCCAACACTTCCTGCAGTGTATGTTACAACAATGCACTTTTTCCACATAGCTGTGTTTGGCTCTGCATTAACAGGTCAACATGGTGACGAAGGCTTTGAAACTTTGCCAGGTTTCCACAACATATTCCTCAGCAACAGTAATTCCCAGGAAATAGGAAAATATCATTATTTCTTAATCAATGTCAAGCAGGCAAGAAATCCAATGTTGTTACCTACTCTAAATGAAAATCAATGAAAAATGTACAACTTTGGCTCTATCTAGCAAACCAGCTCGGAGAATATGGGATGAGAAACCTTTAACCCATTACCAGAAAAATCCAATCTGACCACACTCTGGAAAATCACAACAAACTTTCAATGATTTTCTTTTCAGGTGCCTAGAGGGTCCCCTAGCCACAGCAGACCTGGTCAGGCTGCCAGTGAATTAATCATATGTTACAAGCATTCTGTTCATTCCACTTCACAAGGAGCAATCAATTTCGTTGTTGTCTGGTAAAACTGCCATATTGCATCAACAGCAAATTCTGCCTGGAGTCTTGCTGTGTTAAAATAGCATGGACCTGTTTTTATCCTTGACAGGGATTACGGCAAATACGAGGAGTCCTTAGTCCGTGAAGTCTAAACCAGAGTTTACAAAGTGGGCTGAACTAATTGCTATAACACTGCTTGAGTTCCGCTTGTAGCGGCTTCCATTCAAATACGGCAATACCAAGCTGTTACGTAAACTTGCTGTTAATTATAGAGCTATTCCAAGTATGGAGGCTGCACCAAGTGCAGACGGCTTATATCAGAACTCCACAATACAGGGCTGGATCAACTATTACAAATTCAAGGACAAACTTGTGTTAAAGACATTGAGTGAAAATTAACAAGCTTATTCACATTATACATCTGTCATTTATCTATCATGACTAATTTAAATCTGTTTGTGTTTTTAAAAATGTAGGTATGCCTGACAATAACTGTAACCTACTGCTGATCACGATCTGGGATATTAGCATTCTCTCATGCGTGAGCAGGACTCAGGTTTTCCTCTTTCTATATATAGCTAATGTGAAGGAACAGTTACTTATAACAACATGTGACACATCGAGGACAGTGAAATCCCCACTGTGTATCTATGTCAGACAGTTGGGGGTTTTCCAGACACGGGTTGTACATGCCGCTACACATATGTATTTGGTACAACCTTGAGGTAATCTAGGTCAAGTGAGCAGCCCTACTGCCAGGTAATACGACCAGCCTGCAGATAGTCCTTCCTCAACATGGAGAAGTTTCCATCAATCTACTGTCTGATGACATTTAGCCATTACAGAATTATTCAATTTGTAATTTGATAGCACCATGTTAACCTGTTGACAATGAATAATGGAAAATCAATTTTCACAAATTGCCAAAATCTCAGATTCCTCCTGTAAAAATACAGCTGATGACAGGAATAATACAGCTGACGACAGGCTCATGAACTGATAAACCTCTGTCCATGAAACAATCACAACAGATTGGTTGACCATCTTATCTCGGAGATAAACCCTGTCCAATATGTAAACCACAAACCCACAATACCACAACATAGTACATTACATAAACAGCAAATGTCTACATCCAGAGCTGAAGATTACATTCAGAATGCCCCACTCAGGTTATCATGGATTGTTAGGTGTCAAAAAGTCCACCTGGCCGTGGAGAGTAAGGGTCGTGATTAGTGCGTGTCTACTTTACATAATGCTTGTTATGGCGAGGTTATCTGTCTTATCAACACAACCAGCCCCGCGTCAAGCACGGACTACACTTACTGCCAAGCACACATTGACAAACAAAACCATCAATGGAGTAAAATTGCTGAACAAAATAGAGCAGGTTCCATGCATTTCTAAATTATTGATTGACTGAGTCATGCCTGATGATGCAATTTTAGGTTAAACTGAAAACAAATAATTCCTTTACAAAGCAAGCATTAAAGTCATTCAAGACATAACATGCAGAAAATATTATTAAAATTAGAATTGGAAAATAACAAAAAATGGTAAATTAAGAAAATCATGCATAATAACTGAAAGACAGAGGATAGACCAAGAGCACTACTCACAGCAATTTTCATATCTAAAGTCCTTATGATGTTAGTGGGGTCCCGCCGCAGGTAACCTACCGCGTTCTGAGACATTGTCGTTGACATTGACTTAGGAGCAACTGCACAACTCATGGTTACTGGTTCTTTTGACAATCTAAAGTCACAGCTTCTCAAACTACCAAACAATCTTCAGTAATCTTCACGTCAGCTAGCTGCTCAAACTCAGTGAGGTTTTATCACAACACAGCTTATCACAGGTCCTCTCTCACCGCTGGCCTAAGCATTAACTAATGCGGCTTGCTTCGCCACGATCTAAATATACCTCTGAGCAAGCCTCTAGCCTAAGGACAGCCCTGGTGGTGTAACCCTTCCTGTTGCTTAGCAGTTCACCAAGTCCCGCCTCCCAGCTCGGTGACCCCACCCAGTGCCCTATATGGAACAAGATGACACCTTTGTGTCTTGAATGTGTCATCTGTGAGGACCAACCTCCCTCCGGATGTGTATTTATAACTGCAGTATATAGACGGCAGATGATTGCTGTGACGGCAGCACTATTGATCTGAAGACATAGGATTGCCCTTTCCCGTTCTAGATCTGGTGAGCACCATGTTCTATATTCAAAACTTCAAAGGAATCAATGAATCAAAGATCAGCTGATTGGATGAGTCGATAATGAGACATGCATGTGGTTTCCTCGGCTGTACTCGGTGTCCAGTGTTTGACGAGTACAGAGAGGTGACGGTCACAGGTTACTGGTACATTACATTGTTTATCAGTACAGTCCAGAGTGCTTAGGAGGGTCGATGCCATAGTATTTGAATCTAGGGTCCCAGAAATATAGGCATTAGGACAAGCACTGCTTGACTTTCATTTTTGTATTTGAACACAATCAACTTTTTATCAACTTTTAACGCTCTATGCAATAAACAAGAAGTTGTTATCTACATGTATATACTTCATTATAAATGATCATGTTCTAGTTTCTACAATACTGCCATTGTACACAACACAAAACATTTACATACAAATACTTGAACAATCTGGGATGAAGATGATACCACAAAACATTTACATAATATGCAATACAAACAAAATGACAGTTTCAAATTCTGTCCCCAATTTTCCTTGTTCCACTGTTATTGTTTAGCTAATAGTAATTATAAATGTGTATCGGTTAACTTGTGTTTCTGGCATTCCAGCCTGCCATGACCCTCCTTCACTGACATCAACTACCAGCATCAATTGACCCACTGAACCACGGAGCACTGAACCAGAACCATGTTCATGTCTCTACAACCTGTTTGTACCAATCATTCCACATTCCATTTAAACATCTGATTGCATCTGGCGCCACCGATAAACATGAGTGAGTTGTTTTACGCCACTTTTAGCAATATTCCAGCAATATCACAGAGAGGGACACCAGAAATGGGCTTCACACATTGTACCTATGTGGGGAATCGAACCCTGGGCCATCAACATGACAGCAAACACTTTAACCACTAGGCTACCCAACAGACAGCAAACACAATCCCAGACTGCTCACCAGCAAGTAATTCACATTATACATATTGGATCAAATATACAGAAATATGCCTAAAACAAGTGAGAAAGCCAGAAACTAAACATCCAGTGATGGGAGATACACCCTGAGTTGTTTGTTTGGTGCTGAACGTTTCACTCAGCAGTGTTCCGGTCACACGACTGGTGTCTGTGAAGGTCATCTGGACCAAACAAACCAGTGATTGATACAATGAGCAACGTCCACGCCGTCGCGGTATAACCTTGGTCAGTTAGTTCCAACTAACCATCTAAGACTGAAGCAATCAGCCAAGTCCCACGCACTGATGCCATATTCAGACTGAATTCTTACCAATAGTGGTGGTCCAGTTAATTGAAATAATCGAAGATTGGTCGCAGTGACTAAGCGACCAAGCAATCGAACATGTTTTCTCGTAATCGAACACGACCAATCTTGGAACACTTGTTTGCATTAACAATATTTTTCTCAAGGTTGGTTTTGTCTGTGTCATTAAATTTACATTTCATAAGCACTACAAGCTCGTTCCAAGTCATGATTGAATTTATCTTAAAGAATCCAGGAAATATGTGTTCTTAACATACTAATCATCATTTAAATATGCAAAATTTGCAAATGGACTTTAAACAATTTGCAAAAAACCCAAATTACTACACGTTTTTTCTTTATTTTTCTTTGTGCATTAACAAAAAATAACAGGGACATTTAATAAATGACGCTAACCAATTATTTTCGATGATTGATCAGTTGTAATGGACCAATCATCAATTATTAGATTTCAACCAATTCCCAACACTACTTACCATGATCCCTCAAACATATGAACCCGTGAACCATGTAACTTTACAACTTACCATAGCTTGTTCAATCTTGTTGTCGATGGCCACAGTACTGGAGCCGCTGTAAAACAAAAAACACATCTGTTAAAAACATGCTCCATAAGAAATCATTCTACGATTCTAAGGGACAGTCTGTTTTGTGTACTGAAGTCACTCTGTGTTCACAACCTCCACAACACAGGACTGCCACGACACTATCGACCTGAGCAACCAGTGTCTTAAACATGACAGGACAATTAGAAAAACTTGATATCCTTCAGCTTAAAAAACAAGGACACATTATACTCCAGGTTTGCTGTATCTGTCCATGCACAAATCTCACATGTACAGATCTCACATGTACAGATCTCACATGTACAAATCTCACATGCACAAATCTCACATGTACAAATCTCACATGCACAAATCTCAAATGTACAAACAAATCTCACATGTACAAACAAATCTCACATGTACAAATCTCACATGTACAGATCTCACATGTACAGATCTCACATGTACAGATCTCACATGTACAAATCTCACATGTACAGATCTCACATGTACAGATCTCACATGTACAAATCTCACATGTACAAATCTCACATGCACAAATCTCAAACAAATCTCACATGTACAAATCTCACATGTACAAACAAATCTCACATGTACAAATCTCACATGTACAAATCTCACTACAAATCTCACATGTACAGATCTCACATGTACAAATCTCACATGTACAGATCTCACATGTACAAATCTCACATGTACAGATCTCACATGTACAAATCTCACATGTACAAATCTCACATGTACAGATCTCACATGTACATAGAATGGCAGATCTGGTTATGCCTGTCAATAGTTTAATGGCATAAAAACATGACATCACATAAACATATCAAACATGACATCCCCTAACAAAAAAATATCCTAACTAGCTGTTATATTACAATGCTCTGTACATACATCCTAAATTAAATACTCAAGAAAAGTTAATTTTTTAAAATCCTGAATATTGCACACATCAATGATTTAACATATATTTTGAAAACCTGAGTTCATAACATTATTAGTCTGGTTGAACCATGAAACAAGCAGGATGACCAAATTTAAGATGATGCTCTTGCAAAATTAGTGAGTTAAATAATGACACAGGTATTTGTTTAATGAATCATTTTATGCAGGGTGATAATGTTTGAACAGTGTCAATAAGCAATTTCAACCATTAGTCTCTACACGTGTGTCGATCCTGTGACCGCGATCACTGTCACACTCACAAACAATTATTTAACTGACATTTTATTCAAATCTCAAACATACATTGATGGGCTTAAGTGTTGCTGAACCACACATACAATCAACTGTAATCAACAGTAGGTCACACGGTGTGAACAAGTGGGCGTGTCGCCTCCACAGGGTGGAGTCGTGTGATCAGAGCGTGGCAGCTTCGGCTATTATTAGCATGCTCTGACTCACTACCAGGAAACGAAAGCTGGATCTCCCCACTGCTTTAAGATCGTCATATTTCTACTCAAGCGGATCAGCCCAACGGAAGACTGTCATGTCGGTGATGATCAAGGCCTATTTGTTTGTACCGAGCAGCACTCTTACAAGATCCTGCTCCAAAGTAATTTCAGAGATTTTTAAAAAATGCTTAAAAAATATACATAGAAGACTGCATGTGAACAAAAACAATCAGGATTATGTTATTAATTTGTTCTACAAAGCTCATGATTGAAGTACACAGTGTGAGTAAAGGGTTAAGGCTTTCATCATTATCCCAATGGTAAATGTTACATGTAGGATTCCCGATACTACTGCCACAATGAAAAAGGACACCAGGAGCTCCATTAATTGTCTCTAATTGCTAAAACTAATACATCAACTCTAACCAACATTAAACATTAAATACAGGGATATTATTGTGGTGAGATATTAGCCGCACTTCATGACCTTGTGAAGGAATCATTCCATGGACATCAAGCATCAAGTGACCACGTACCACCCAACCGGTATGTAAATCACCGTACCCAGCACTGGGGCTAAATACCACACTGCACCAAAAAACCACTGCTAGATCTCGTTCCACAACATTCCCACTGTGAGCCTACGACTACCACATGTGCAACCCGCTGTGTATTTCGATGTCTTGATCGCAAGTCTCCTCACACCTTCCATCTCTAATTGACCAAAGTTTAACACACTCTAGCACCTTCCTGTCAAGTCATTCCACGTGTGACGTACTTTGTCCGAAGTGACGTCACCTTCCCTTGCCTTGTACGGAGAAATATAATCGTGTACAGTTGTGAATGGTTCTGTCATTGTTTGCCAGTTACCCAGTGCACGAAGTGGCGCCACACGGCTACCTGACTACCATTGTTTACCTATGCTAGTCGGAATGCCAGATCCATGTGCTTCAAGCACCTCACAATTGAGGCTTTACTGTTGCCAATCCCTATCATCTCATAGCTAGCATTCATAACACCTGCTGAATGCATGTACATAGCTTTAACACTGACTCGATAGGCTATAAATATCACTGTGGTCTCAAGTCCTTATCTAGATCTCTAAACAAATTGTTCAATAGGTATTTCTTAGGAGTTGACAGATGAAAAGTGAACACAATCTAAGCAATATTTATCATACCTTCCGAGACGTTTCGGCATAGATCCTTCTACCACAGGCCAGCAGGAATGTGTTAAGTTGTGACTACTTTATCTCATGTACAGAATGTTCATAATGTATTCAATATACTTATATTTCAAAAAGATAACATAAAAACATATGGGCTAAGAAGAATACTAGTATGTCACAGTTACAGTGATAAAGCATGTCCTCTGATAGATGTATAATATTTTCAACATGACAGAAATTGTTAGAGGCCATGGAAAGTGTTCATACTTTGGCCACAATAAATTTGTCCCAGGTCAAAGAAATATTTTAACATTTAACAATTATATCCAAATACATTTTAAACAGGTTTAATGTCGTACATGTGAATGAACAAAGATACTGGTCACCCAAAACATCCATGTTTTGTACAAACCACCTGTATACACTGGACATGGTGCGTGACAGGTAAATATTGTATGTGAGACATACAACTGACAATTATTGCATTCATTACGTTTTTTCCAAACAGTTAGAGCTATATTTCATGATGCAAGAGACATATTTATTTCTCCACACTCACATGTTGTATTATACCGAGTTAAGCTGAAGCAAATATATCATGGAAAATCTTGATGTTCATTTCAGGGTCTTAAAATTAAGACCCTACCTTTACACAATTTTAAGTGGTGCTTGTCAGGCTGAAACTAGACAGCCGGCTACAGCTGAAAGACGCCATGTACTACACCACCAGGCTATGTTCCTGAGTGTGTTCATTTCTAATCTGCCATGGAAAGCTGACCTCCAGGTTTGCAGAGCACCAGACCTCCAATCCAGGACAAGTTTTCAAGTTCAGATACAGGCTACACACGTCATACAATATGCAAATAGCTGGGAGTGTAAACGGTGAGCATAAATACACGATGCCATTTTGACAAAAACATACTCATTGAATGTAAACAGGTGATGCAAGGCATTCACAAAAACACCTTTATTAAAACACTCCCAGGCCTGAAAATATCGTTTTGAATATTTGGTTGTTGTGTAATTCATCATGTCTACATCTCTAGAGGAACAGGACAGAGTAAAGAGTAAAGTGAACTGCTGACGAAGAATATCCTACAGTTATCTCCCAACACTAAATATTTAATATATAGCAGAGGGTGTGGAACAAAGTAAGAACATTGTTTTTTCTTCAAAAGTGGTTGTAAACTATACTCGACACGTGTCTGTGTGTGTGTGTGAGAGAGAGAGAGAGAGAGAGAGAGAGAGAGAGAGAAAGTGAGTGAGAGAGAGAGAGAGAGAGAGAAGGGGGGTGGGCTGAAGGAGTAGAAGAAAATAGAGTAGACAAGACCTTCACCCAATCTTCAACCCCCTTTTATAAATGACAAGATCCTGAATAGTCAATGGTTCAAAATGTGATCTGTAGACCTATCAGCAGCATCAATATGGCCACCCCCTCAACATGGCCACCCTCCTCAACATGACCCCCCTCAACATGACCACCCCCGTCAACATGGCCACCCCTCAACATGGCCACCCCCTCAACATGGCCACCCCTCAACATTGCCACCCCCTCAACATGGCCACCCCCTCAACATGGCCACCCCCTCAACATGGCCTCACCCCTCAACATGGCGACACCCCTCAACATGGCCACCCCCCTCAACATGGCCACACCCCTCAACATGGCCACACCCCTCAACATGGACTCCTATCTTCTCACAGTCAAGTGATGCATGCCGTCTCTCTGGGATAAACTCACCCTTATGTCTTTGTTCAATTATAGATTTATTGGTGTACTCGCCTACTTGTATTGATTCATCATGCTTTTGTAATTTGTTGGCAACGCTTTGGGTATATTGTTTAATAATCAAATTAAATTACTGCATCAGAAGCCTTCAAAAATGATTGAATTACAGTTTATTTATCAACTTTAAAAAGTCAGTGCCTTCTTTCATAAAGTTTATAAGAAATCTCATAAACTCCACGCCTTCAACCCCTGAAAGTTCAGGAAGTACAAGCATGATGGTTCGGGCTCAAAGCCAAAAAGTAATCTTGTAATATTTTGAGTTTAAAAGTCCTATCGAAAATCCTGGGTAAATGAACGAACAGCATTCCTCGACTGAAAACAAGGCACAAACTTCAAGCCAAAAAATACCACACAAAAACATAGAAAGAGTTTTAACTTACTTAGTGTGTTTTGGATGTAAATTCAGAAATCCAAAAAACTATTGTTAACAAGAAAGAATTTGAATCAGTAGTTAGAGTCAATTCAGTTTTTGACTCAACCAAGCGTGCAACAATGCGCCAACTAACTCATGTGTAGGAGAAAAGCCAAAAGATTTTTTTTATAGATCCAGACTCTCTACATCGCTGATAAGAACCATCTCCACAAAGCTATTTCTGCAACATAACTGTCTCAACTTGTCTGCACTCCTATATATTGAAGTTGACATCATGGCA